CTCTTTCTCTGCGTTTGTATACATGACGACATCCCCTTGACATAATATATTAAGATCTCGGTCTTGATATTCAATAGAACACTGTATGATATGTCACGAGGGTCATACTTCTTTAAATACCATAAAATAGTAACAAACTTGAAGTAATTTTAAATTTGAAACGTTGACCACAGTAATTTTTAACTTTCTTTCATTACTATGTAAAAGATGGGGTGCATACGATAGCAAACAATACGGCTTCAACACGCCAGAGTGAGCATCCTCTTTCTTGTCCCACAAGGCAGTCTATATAGACACCAACTATACCAAACATATGAGATAACTCCTTTCGTTTTAGTAAACTTTTACGGAACTGGCAACTGCATTCGGTCATTGAGCGCCAAAGGGAGGATGTCAACAGAGAAGTCCAAACGTGGAAATCAGGCTTACTCTGCTCATCTCTCTAGTCTTCACAGCAGAAAGTCTGCTTCAACTATCAAGGCACTCCGGAAATAGCAGTTCACAAGAGAGTGACAAACATACTAAAGAAATAGAGAAAAAATGGCGATTGTAACGACGAGGAAAGAAAAGGTTGCAGTTCCCCCTATGTTGTTCCGCACAGTATGAGCATGACTTTGATAAATCAGCCCTTTTACAATTCTACTGTGCAGCATACGAACATGTTAATATCCCCCCCTTTGGGGAGTGTTACCTTCAATAAAAAGGTAGCTGGCTGTTTTTGCAAAGTAGATCTGCCATTTAGATCTGTAGGTGTGCTCCAGGTGATATATATATATATATATATATATATAGATAGATAGATAGATAGATAGATAGATAGATAGATAGAGAGAGAGAGAGAGAGAGAGAGAGAGAGAGAGAGAGAGAGACAGAGAGACAGAGACAAGAAGTCAGATAGCCTATATCTTCTGTTATGAACGATCTTGCATGATCTTACCTATCTCTCTCTCTCTCTCCCCTCTCTCTCTCCCCCCCTCTCTCTCTCTCTCTATTCATCTATCTATCTATCTACCTATCTGTCTGTCTGTCTGTCTGTCTGTCTGTCTGTCTGTCTATCTGTTTGTCTGTCTGTCTGTCTGTCTGTTTGTCTGTCTGTCTGTCTGTCTGTCTGCCTATTTTTCTGCCTATCTGTCTATCTATCTATCTATCTATCTATCTATCTATCTATCTATCTATCTATCTATCTATCTATCTATCTATCTATCTATCTATCTATCTACCCATTCTCTTTTGGGTTTTATTTGTAATATCATAATCTCACAATATAGCATTGATTGTAAATTTAAGATTCTCGAATGGGTCAGGTGAAATATGATCACTAACGTGCTTACACAAACTGACAAATGTTCCGCCCGTCTTCTTTCACATACCTTTGAGATATCAGTGATGTTTTGCTTGTAGATTTTGGATAGGCTTGAAAGCTGAAAGGTGTGATAGCTCAATTAATCGCTGTTTGTTCCTCCCCTTGTACATTCCCAGTTCATAAAGTGTTGCCATGACAACGGAGATTGTCAGGGTAAAAGTTTGGTACGCAACAGCTTTGTCAGCTTCACTGTTAAAGCTCAGGCAAAAATCGAATCAATGATCAAATCAATCACAGTTCTTTTTCTAGTAGGAAAGCGAATGAATATATGTTACGTGTAGGACTTTCACCTTTTGCAAGACGATCATGTTACAAAAAAAAATTCTGAGTGACCATGTTTCCAGTTGGAAGTGGGAATTGTGAAACACGGTCATTATTTCAGATCTACTTAAATTTATTGTTAAAAGCGAAATCTCACGCTATGAACTTGCCATTCGTGACCCGAAAGCTTGGGCTAGTATTTTTTTGTATTATTGTTCTTAAAACGAATTTTGGTGCTCTACAAGATTGGCAAATAATAGGTAATTAATGCGACTTTGGCTTGTAAGCGTACGCTAAACCTTACCTGACAAGGGTCGATGGACAGTGATCTCTCTCTCTCTCTCTCTCTCTCTCTCTCTCTCTCTCTATATATATATATATATATATATATATATATATATACATATATATATATATACATATATATATAAAAATATATATATACTAGCTGAGCACCCAGCTTTGCTCGGGGTCGACGCCTTGGCGTCACAGCTCCTACTGGTCTACGCCGCAGAGGCATTGTGCTTCTATATGTCCTTGCTGTCTAGCACTTCACAGTCATATCTGGCTTCTAGATCTATATTGCTTTTGTTTAAGTCTGCCTTGATTAACTCCTTTCTTGATCTACATTGCTTTAGTGTATTGTTGTTTAGCCCTTCACAATCACAAAATACGGATTTCGCCTTGCACCATCACAAAAAGCACTAAGGAAATAATAATCCACGAAAGGGCTGCTACACTGTAAAAGGAACACACCGACGTCTTCAAAATCACAGTGTCTTTAGCTTGTTCGCTTTCCTCTGACAGCGTTAAAAACAATTCTAGCTCATTGAGAAATTAACTTAGGCCTACGAAACTTTGATTGACACTTCTACAGACTATTCGAAATGTGAGCGTGCAAATTCATATGCACATTTCAGATTATGACATACGAATTATGGCAATGCAACATGGCTTGAAGATCAGAAATGATCCCAGGCTCAAGTTCTTCGAAAAGACTGTTTCTGCGCTCTGAGGCTGCCTCACTTTCCATGAAATAAACTTACTGGAATGAATGCTCATTTTGGGTGGCAGGAAGGAGAGAGCCAATGCGATGATATACTTGACCCTTCTGGCGAAACTGTGGATTCCATCCATTGAGGGTTGCATCGGTATATCCCATGGATGTGAGCTGAAAGCTATGGTTGTACAGCCTGATTTTCTCCAGAAAGTGAGAGGACAGTGTCGACACACCAGACAGAAGGATTTGCAGTTCAGTAGGTGGTTTTGGAAATGGATGCAGATCAACTTTGCCATTGCTACAGAACATACCTTGTGCTTCATATGGAAATCTTATGGCCAGGCAGTGTGTACACTGTGTCGTCAGTTCCCCAATGTAGCACTCGTACTGAAAGGAATTGACAATGTAGAGGAATGCTTTTGGGAGATTTAGATCTAGAGAGTCCCCATCATTTTATTGTTGATCTAGACCACCTCGACCTTTGCGAGCTCGAGGGGTTCCAACTGCAGAACTTCCTTTTCTTTTCGGCATGGTCAGGCACTATCTAGGTTTAGATCTAGATTCTTATCTAAGATCTATTGACGTTGTTCCCAGTAGCAAGAAAAAGAATTTGACAAAGTAGTCCAGAAAAAGCGAAGATGGCCATCAAACGAAAGGATCGCAGTCGAATCTAGCACCAAGTAGAAAAATAAAACATGAGGCTAGATCTATATGGGTCGCACACTTAAAATAGTGCTCAGTATTGCGCGACAATGCGCGATAGTATCGAACGGAAGTACGACTTGAAATAAACAAACCTAGCGGATTTTCTCAAATTAGAGACAGAAGCGTCGGCCTACAAAAGCGATCGGCGAAATAAAGAAGTTTAGCTTTTTGCAGCAAAACTGTCGCAAAACTGAAAAAACGAAGGGTGCCATGATCTGGAGAATATTTTTAAAAATATTTTGTCGAAAACCGCATGTCGATCGATGCAGCCATTAAAAAGCCTTTTGAATAGCAAAATTCGGCAACCACAAATAGATAATAGTTACACACAAATATATATATATAATGTCATCATCACCATTATTATTATTATTATTATTGTTATCATTATTATTGTTATTATTATTATTATTATTATTATTATTATTATTATTATTATTATTATTATTATTATT